TGTATTTCAGATAATCTGCGTACTATTTGTGGTAGTACATCAGAAGACTTTCTTACTAGTTTTTTCAACTGCCCCAGAAAATTTTCAAAAGGAAAATTACTAAACACATCCAATGGCCCATATTTTCTGACATCATTACTTATATGTAAAAGATTATGGATATTGTGTATCATAAACTCTTCATTATAAATTAAACGACAACTAACAACAAAATGTTTTAATAACTGTTCTGCATAATCTACATATTGACATTCAAATGCTTTGTTACTTACTAAAATAGAAATAGCATAATGAAGTGTAATGAAGTGGTCATATTTAGTTGAATCTAATATACCTTTAAGCACTATTGGTCCCAAATATAAAAGAAATAGTCTAAATTCTGTCGCTTTGAAGCGTTTTGCTTCCTTTAATGATCTGGGCTTTCTAGAAAATTCACACGGAATATATGATTTCAATGATATTAATTGTGTAGACATTTCATCAATTATTCGTGAAGGTAATTTATGAGGAGGTTTTCCAAAAATCCAGGTTCCAACTAACAGTTTTTTCATAACTCCTAGCAAAATAAGATGCATGTAATCTAAAGGAACATCCGATACTAAATTTAAACCAGGAATTCTAGTAAGAATAGTTTGTCCAACATGGTGATTTTCATCAGTTTGATTTTTAAAATCATTATCAGTCCTTTCTATAAAAGTGATATCAGGAAAACACATTCTACCATTTAAATATTCTCCTTCAGCAGTACACTTTGAGCATGAAGAGTAACCTGAATGACCTTTAATCTGCAACACACTTGCTTTTGCAACTGCATCAAATAATAACATTTGTATTTCGAAACGTGTTTTTTTTCCACATACAGTTATGTCTTTGTTGTATAAGCCAATAGCTTCAGTTACAAAATCTTCTAAAAAATTGTTAAAACAAGATGGCTTTTCATTGCCATGGTAAATACCAATCGGAAAAACTATATTATCTAATGGTTTATAATTTTTAACAATGCCCAAGATAGGGTAAAGCTGACTACTGGAAGACTTACTTAAAGGGAGTCCATCAATATTAATAGATACCTTAATTATCGAAGGAACAGAGACTTCATTTTTAAATATATTGTTTAAGCTATTTAAGATACCAAAATGATTATACAACCCTGGAGTTACAGTTCGCAGTAATGTAATTTTTGGTGTCATTAAAAACGTTCTAGGATCCTTTGGTAGAGTTTTAAATGTGAGTGTTTTCCTCAGAATAGTTAAAAGACTTTTCAGGGCATTATGATTAATTTTATATTCAATACTCCATTTATGAAGCTCTTGAAAAATATTTTCAGTACTTTCAGAACTTTTTTGAATATTATTAGCCAAAACATTACTAAAAGTTTCTTCATCGCTAGATGAAGATGAATTCGAAATAGATATTTTATCATTCTGAATATTAACAACAGAGTCAATAAGTAAATGGTCAGTATTTATATATTTATCATTTTCATTGTCTATATAATTATGTAATAATGGTATGGATGAAGATATTTCTGAATTATTTGAAATAATATCAGATGATGATGCATTAATATTTGCTCCAACTTCTACATAATTTACTACACTTGATTCAACAAAATGTGTTTGATTTAAAACAGATTGAGCAGAGCATTCTAGATTGTTTAATTGATTTTTAATTACACGGTTGAAATGGCGTTTAGAAACTGAACACTTTTTCATAGTTAATAGTTATTAAATTAAATGATAAGCACTTAAAACCAATGTGTTCTGGTTTGTAACTTTTAGCCTATTATAGGTACCTATAAAGTATAGTTATTATAATATTAGTATCTAATAATATAGTATAATATTAATATATTATTTATTAATAAGACTTCTTACCTGAATTTCTATAAGTAGGTACAAATTGTTGACGATTTTGTGGCGAGTGACGACCGTTGTAATGTTGTATAAATTATTAAAATATTAAATCATAAATTCATAAAATAAGTAATAACTATAAGTAGGTACCAATAACGTACTGTACAGTCTGTACTACAACTGTTAGACGTCAGTACTCAGTGTGTGTATTGTGTGGCGCGTGCCGGGCTAAGAAAGGGCCGGGGAGTCGACGTGCAGCGGCATTGTCGGATTATCGTCGTCGACATCAACGATGGCGGGGTGAGGGCCATAGATATTGAATAATAATATCTAAATATAAATATAATGTGGTTTTGTCCGGAGGATCAGGATTTAGGACTAGGCGAGCGATTCGCGATCTGGTCGAAGGAGAGTACGCTAAATGCAGCAAGCAGGGGACCGTAGTGAGGGAGTATTGTAGTAATGGTTCACTACAATTATTAACTATGTACTATCGATGGTGAGGGCAAATTTACAAATAAGCACTTGCATCGGTTGTACCTATTTACAAATTATTGTGCATAGCTTATCTATAATTGGTACGCTATATATTATACCTACAGACTACGTCCTGGCTACACATTATTATAGTGTTTTTGTATAATATTATACTATATATTGCAATACTGAAATCATAGTTTTCAATAAATTATTTTGGCATCCAAAATAGTATATGAATGGAATATATCCAATTGAATATATTCTTTTACTAATATTCAATGTTTATCATGGTGCGAATATTCTAAGAATATGTAATATCGAATACTAATTACATTTATAAATTAAGAATATATAGTAAGACATATGTATAGAATATTATAAGCATCTTCTTTAAATTATATCCAAATTGGTATATTTTAAATATATGCTTTGTAGTGCTTGGATATCTATAGAGTACTTGGTATATTTGAGGAATACCATATGAATATCTAATGTTATGTGGGTATACAATTAGGAAACTGGCAGTATTTTTGGAAACCCTCTGCAATTTCTCTCCAACGATTTTCAGTAAATTCTAGAAAAGACTCTTCTCGTAAACAATCCCAAAGAGCATTGCAAACTTTTCTTAATATTTTTCCTATCGTTGTGTGTCCAAGTCTGTACGTTAAGTGTAGATCGATTTGATCACTTCCACTACCTAAGTACCTAAACAATAAATAAATAAACAAATTGACAATCTTTGAATATTAATAAAAAGGTTAATACTTATAAAATATCAATTAAATATTATTACAGTGGAACCTCGATAAGTCGAACCTCGATAAGTCGAAAACCTTGATAAGTCGAAAAAAATTCCATCCCCTTGCGAAAACCTCGATTACTCGAAAAAAAAAACTATAGATAACTCGAACATTCTGTGCTCCGAATATGACGGATAATGACAGATAATTTTATAAACATTTGTCTAATCGGCTTGTCCGTTCCGATAATTTTATCTAATCTTCATTGTTTCAATGAAGCAAGCAACAGTAGCCCTCATATTGCTAAGGACATTCACCGAACAATTGAGTAATGTGGACGATAAAGTGTACTCTGCTTTAAATGTAATAGAAAATACAATTGATAATAGTAAATCTCAAATTTTAAGTCAGAGTAAAATAATAAATTATCTTTTATAAAGTTGCAACACATGTTTTATTATATTTTTTTGTAATAAATTTTTATTTAAATAATCTGTATAATCACATTTTTTTACATTGTATATACATATATACTAAGTACATAATAATTAAAAACTTTAATACATACATACATTTTTAAAACTCTTTAAGTCGAATTTTTTTTTCTAAAACCTTGATAACTCGAAAACCTTAGTAAGTCGAAAACCTTGATAAGTCGAAAAAATTGCATTTCCCTTGAATTTCGACTTACCGAGGTTCCACTGTATTTATTATAGATTAATACAATTTTCAATACCTAATTACTTGTACATATACATGTTTTTATTGGTTATTTCAGGCACTAAATTCATTCAAAAGTGGAAGAACATTAAAGATCACTATGCTAAAAGTGAGAAAAAAAAATGTAAATCGGGACAAGCTGCTAATACTGGGAGACGGTACATTTATGCACAACAGTTGTCATTCTTACAAACTGCTGGTGCCACAACCAATACTCAGTCTAGCTTAGATCATGAAGCACTATTGGACCAGCAAGATTCAGTGGACCGGCAAGATTCAGTGGACCAGCAAGATTCAGTGGACCATCAAGAGTCACATTACAGTAGCTTAGATTTAGATGGATCAGAATGCCCTCCTCGCTATAAACAGAATTCTACAAAGAAACGTAAAAATGACTTAGAGTCTTCCTTGGTAGAATTTTTGAATACTCCAATTCCTACAACTCCACCAATTGTTCCAGAGATCAACCCAGATAGATCTTTTTTTGAAAGTTTACTTCCGTCTATAAGTAGTTTCACAGAAGACAAGAAGCTGGAGTTCCGTTGCGAAATACTGAACATTATTAAGCGTATGAGGAATCAACATGCTGTACAGCAATATGGATATCCACCAAACAACCCACATTACAAACCCGCACATGGATATGATCAGATTCCATATTCCAGTTACATCGAGCTTAATCGTCCCCCTCAGCCAAATCAATGCCCCACACCAATTACACAATTTCGAACACCTCTTTCTACTCAACTGTCTTCCAGTTACATCGAGCTTAATCGTCCCCCTCAGCCAAATCAATGCCCCACCCCAATTACACAATTTCGAACACCTCTTTCTACTCAACTGTCTCAAACAACCAGCACTGGGGTTCCTACAATATCTCCAACATCCTCAACTCAACTGTCTCAAACAACCAGCACTGGGGTTCCTACAATATCTCCAACATCCTCAACTTCAGCATCCATGGACAACCAGTTTTACAGTGAAGAAGATAGCATAGACCTTTTTGGAGATTAATAAAATCATTTGAAGTAATATTTCGTTTATAATTATAAATTAATATTAATAATCTATATTGTATGTAATTAATTCATTTCATTTCTACTTGTCAATTATTATTACATTGTTTTATATTGGTATACATTTACAATAAAATATATAATAAATAAAATAGTAAATAGAATAAATAAATATATAAATAAATCACTTACCTCAAAGTAACAGCGAGCATTTCAAGTGGTGGTATGGACAATCTCATGCATGTATCTTGAGACTTAATTTTTGTTGAAATTTTTGCAGCTAACTCGTCAAACGATTTCACGCTCATTCGAAAATAATTAAAGAATTTTTCATCATTTTCTCGAAGATTATTAAAAGATGTATAAAATATCCCGCACGTGAGTCGACTATCAGTGAACGGGTGTACCCAATATCGTCGTTTTTTTTTTAAGATATACTTTTTATACACAAGGTACGCGAAAATAATTTTTTTTTTCCTGTATATCTCCATTTTTACTACGCGAATACGGTACTGACGAGTGTTGGCGAAATACTGGACAGCTGTTTCTAGTACAAAAAACGCTCATGTGTGCATATACGGCCGCGGTACCGCAGCGGCATCGCAGCGGCACCGCGCGTTTAAAAACCGCACGTGTGCATCAAGCCTCGGATGCTGCACAATTATTTTCGGTATTTAAGTGTTTTGACCAACGAACTCATATTCAAACAAATCTAAATTAAAATGTGATTAATCTAAACAACAATTATAAATATTTAATTTAAATTATTTACCCTGGTTGTGTTTATTTTCATTTAGTAAGGATTAAGGAACTTCATTGCATCAATATAGCGTTTAAAAATATTATTCATTACTTATCTGATATTGATGATTATTACAGCATTCTATCCATCAAACAAACTGTAACAAAATAAATTAAATAAAAAGAATAAATTAGATAGGTACCTACTGAATATATTTATTTAGTAATTAGTTACCTAGGTGTGATTGCAATTTGCAGGTGTGACTGGTGTGAGTCATTGTCATAATATAATATGTAATATATTTTTTATAAGTGTAGAACGACTAGCGAAAAATCACACTTATGATTAGTTATTTTATCACTGTCAACAAATTAATTTAATTATTTTTATCAAAAACACCCATCTAGGTAATAATTGGTAGGCATTTTATAGGTATGTACACATGTACAATATTTACTTAAAACCATATTATATATTAAGATCATTATTATAGTATACAATATTATGTACTTACACGTTTTGTTATGCAGCTCTCCAAAATATTAACTTAGGCACGTGATTACGTATAACAGTCGTGTAATTATTAACTTTTAAAACTTAAAATTATAATAAACATGTAGGTATATAGCCATATGGTGTGTAGCCCGGGGGCCGTGTAGGTCTCAAGTTCAGTATTTGATCCGAATATCTTGTGTAATGGTGTATTAATATTAAATATTCATGTGACAATATTAGTGTGTTGCAACTTGCAGCAGTGCATACTGCATAGTACATAACCATAGACAAGAATACTAACTGCCATAACTGAATTTCTGCAAAGTGCATACGCTCTGCTCGCCGGTACCGCGGTCTGCGCCCTGTGTGGCAGTGTTAAACGTTAGTTGTTTTCTGTATTTTCATTTGTCACTCTATCTATGGGAATGGGTTGTGGCACGAGGTGTGAGGAGTGAGAACTGCGGTCGCGGCGAATTCACTGATAAACTGAACCGTTGGTAATTATTAATAGTTACATAGCACATAATTTGACGGAATTACCCCTCAGCCGTCAGGGTTTTTATTTTTATTCTATTTGACACTTTGGTCGGTACTGGTGGGTGGGCAATTCGGCAATAGACCGAAATAGTAAATACTAAATACTCAATATTGTGTTTGTGACTTGTGTTACTAAGTAATGAACTTCATGTTCGTTTTATAGAACAATATTCGTACGAACATTCTAATACAGTGGCTTACTTTTGGGGGGGTCTATCCCGCTAACCACCCCCCCTAATTCCACCCCTGTTCTAATCTGTTGTAAATATTGATTTTTCATTTTAATTTTTACTCAAAAACGTCGTGATAAATCACCATGTAATTAATTAATATTTAATACTTCATAAATGTTATCTATTTACGAGCATATTCAGTTTAACGTTGTGTTGATTGAAAAAAGGAAATCTGCTACTACCTGATTCAAAATTTCTTTTATTCAATTATTCAAATAAGCTTCGTTGTTTAATTTAAATATTAAATTTATAAGTTTCTAACCAATATTATGCCTGGGACGCAATTAGTATTATACCTTTCTAGTTTCTATAGTTACATTTTTATTTGGGACGGTCGCCGGACGGAACGGGAGTCGGAAAAAAAGCACAGTGATAAAAAGTCTGATTTAATTTTTTTCGGAAAAAATCTACAGTAACTTCAGAAATATTATTTATCTACAGCCTTGGATAGTTGGATTACACCTCCTAGCTACAAATCAAAAATAATACAACAATAATATCAATAATACCTAGCTGCGCTACCGTCGTCGTCTGTCTCAAGTCGTTATAGTAGGTTTTTCCGATTTCGGAAGTCAGAAAATCAATCTTTGTAAGTAGGTAATTGGTAATTAGACAAAAAAATCAAGTTTAAAAAAAAAATAAATGTTGTAACTCTTCTGACTTAAGACTCGGTTGACCGCTTTCAAAAATTGCAGGGGCAGCCCAGGCACCCTAAGCTGCCACCGTAGACACGCCTATGGTATATCATAATAATTAATACTAATAATAAGTTTTTTTTATCAAATATACTCCTATGGAGCCGATTCTGCAAATGTGGGCAAAAATTAACTTTAGTTAAGTTGTGAATTAAAAAGTGTGTTCAATTTGTAATGCCATAGTTTATCGGTAGATAGCATTTTTAATGTCCAATGTATTAAATTGTTTTAAATTGAATACTTAATTAAAGTACCATCATTAAAAACCAATAAAAATACACATTTATTTAAAAAAATCCACGTTTTTTTTTATCATAACTTTCTCACATAAATACATAATATGAATAAATCAAATAGTTAAAATACATTCAACCAACTCACATGAAGTGCAATTTCTTCATCTCACCCTCTCTGATGAGGTATATTCTATATAAGTTTATTTGAATATTATTCCAAATTTGTAGTGCGTGTAAGTAATATTCAAAAATTCCTTGTATGTTCTGCCACTGTGTTTGACATAATTTTTGTAAAAGGGCTGGCTTTCTGGCTGCCCACTTTCTAAAACAGCAAGTAAAAAAATGTAGGAAGTTACTACATTGATGATACTTAGTATAAGGTCCAGTGGCGCAAATAGGAAAAAAATGTTGGGGGGCTCAAGCCCCAAAACATTTTTTTTTTAATTATAATTTATAGGTACATACTTTTATGAATGGTATACTATTATTTTTTGGGCTTTGAGTGATTTTTTTTGGGGGGCTAAGCCCCCTCAAGGCCCCCCCACCTATTTGCGCCACTGATAAGGTCTAATATCCATACATAATTGTTATACCCCTTTATTGTAATCGCTATTATTTAATTTATTCTATTTATTCTATTGTACTGCATTATGTGTAGTTACGTGGTTAGATCTTAGGTGTCAATAATATAAGCTTAAAAAAAATCAAAAAATCGCTCAAGTACACTTACAACCCTTATTATAACTATCACATTACAACTATTCAATTATTTTTCAACAATTAACTCAATGAAAAACATTAAAACAATGAAACCACACAATGACTTTTTATTTTAAATATAGTCTTAAAATAAAATATATTATGGCATTTAAAACCAAAATATTCAAAATAAACGCTAAAAAAAAAAAAAGTGAGTAGGTATTTGATCCCAAATATTGTGAATTGTATTTTGTTACTCACATTATGACAACAATAACCAGATAAAATATGTAAATGCATGAAATTCCTTATAATATAAAATATTTAACTAAAACCAAATAATTATAAATTTATAAAAAGTTTTCTTTATTAATAACAATAAAATTATTCAACAAATAAATATAATAATAATACATATATTAATAATTTTAATAGGTATAGGGGGCTATATGGCAGTATACCCGCGTATCTTCGTTAATTAAGAGAGTATAAGCTAAAAAAAAATGTAGAGAAGTAAGTATCCGCCGTGGCCGTATACCCCCTAATACACCACTGAAGTTATAGAAAAGTCAAGGGAAATGCTTATTGGAATATTGTGTCAACCTTGATGTATTAAAAAAACTAAATGTATCCATCTGAAAAGTGAAAACCTATATATATTAATACTTGACAGTTCAATAATAATACATGTATATATAGTAAAGTGACTGAGACAAGTCCCATTTAGTAATATTAATGATGATGGGGTTGTGTTTAAAATAAGGAAACATTTTAGATTCAAATGTAAAATATATATCATGGAGTACAAATAATTTATAATTTATAAATAAATTATTAAAAAAAATCATTAGGCTCAACATTTATTATTTAGGTACCTATATCATATTATATTATGACCTAAATTTCTAAATTATCTTCATATAAACGAGAAAACATAGACTAAAATGTATGTTATTATACTCCGGCCCACGAGAGAGTATTACCGTTTTGCGCATGCAGACTGACGGCCGAGACCGTTCCGAGGCCCCATTTCCCCCACTATTTTCACGACAGTGGCGCGCCACGAAGTGAATACAGAGTGTGTGCAGTGATGCCATACATTATACAGAGTGATGTAGTGCCATACGTACGAACATACGATGGCAATTTTTTTTGTAATTGATATACGTAATTTCATCGTTATTAATGACGTTTAATCGTTGTATTACACCAATGTTATTGTTATAAAATATTTTAATACATAGGTATACGTCATAAATATACAAAACAATTTATTATATATACATTATTAATATTTTAATACATAGGTATACGTCATAAATATACAAAATATTTTATTAAAAACAAAAAAAAAATTTCAAACTACCTACACACAATATAAAATTAATCAGAACAAATCGGATGAAGTATCTCCTGTAATTGTCATCACATGGGATGTTCCTCCTTCTTCAAAATCTTCGGTAATGAAATCGATTTTGAACAATTTATCCTCTTCTTTGATAGTGTGTTCGACGAAATTGGCCCACATGTTTGGTGTTACAAGATTGACGCCATCGACCAGTAATTGTTGTACGTCGTTTAACTTGAATGTTGTATTGTTATATTTTACGTGATTTTTCACAGCCGCCCACGCCAACTCTATTGGGTTCAGCTCGCAATGGTAAGGCGGCAAACGTAATACAATTTTATTCGATTTCAAAGCTTCTTCGTCGATCACATACTTATCATAAAGATGTCGAATTTCTCTTACCTTATCCATCATCATATGTTTGACCATCGGCGTCTCGATAATACAACCTTTGGACCTTAACCATTGCACTATTTTGTCCTTTTTCCAAGTCATTGTGGGAATGGGGTCCAGTTTGACGGAATGGTATGAAGCGTTGTCCATGACTATTACGGAATTATTTTTCAATTTAGGCAAAATTCCGCAGAACCAGTCATAGAAGGTGTCTCCATTCATTTCGTCGTGGTAGTCTGCTGTGTTTTTTTTGGACTCAATACACAGTAGACCACCCTCGACGAAACCCTCTGCTGAGCCGATATGGACAACAATTAAGCGTTTGCCCTTACCTGTCGGATTTTTTGGCCCGGTAGACAGTCCTTTTAGGAATGCATCTCTATGGGATTTGATTGTCTTGTCCATCCACACCTTATTGCAAGTCTCTCCTGCGTTAACCCATGTCTCGTCGAGATAGTATATTGTTCGACCCTCATTTCTATAACGTCGTATGTCTAAAATATATTTTTGTCGCCATACCACGATATCTCCCCTCTAGGTAAGGGCACTGTTCCGGTTCCTCTTTGTATATTCAAATCCCAATTCCTGTAAAATACGTTGCAAGGATGTCCTGGGTATAGTAGGTAACTCCATGTCATCATTGATAGCCTGAACGATTTTTTTTAACGTTGGAATCTCGTTTTTAAACCAAAACCCATGTATTTTTTGCCTGATAGCATTTTTATCAAAGTCGTCAATTCTGTCATTGATTGTTGGACGAATTTTTTTTTTTATTGGGCGACTTCACTTCTTTATTTTTTTTGTAATCACTTACAGTATTACAAACTGTATTATATCCAATGCCGATTTCTTTGGATATTAATTTCATTAAATTCTTATACTTCATACTTGGCTCTTGTTGAGTTTTAGATTTATACAGATTGATTATCATTAATTTCTGTTTGCTTCCAACAAACTGAAACAAATGTAACAATATAACGAATATAGAATAGAGTTATAGAATTAATGCAGGGACATTTAATGATTATTTTAAAGTGAAACCAATTAATAAGAAGGTATATTAATAATATTGTATTATTTTATATGAATCTAGGAAAAAAAACCTCAATATTAAAATATGGTAAAAATGTATTTGATTAAAAGGTGGTTACATAAAGGTAGTTATTTAAAAAAAAATTATAAATATATGGTTATAGATATCTGTATCAAAAAAGTAGTTAATTAATGACTTATTGTTTAAAAATTAAAAATGATAAAATGTACACTATAATAAAAAAGTGTTATGTATTTAGTTTATACGGGGCTTTTTTTACCGTATTTTGATATTGGAAATATTTTGGAATTTTTTTTTAAAATACCTTTAATATATTTGAAAGTATTATATTAAAAATATTTTGATTTGTTTTGATCTGTTTACGTTTTACATTTAAATTTGTTCAGTTTTTAAAAAAAAAACAAATATCAATAATGCAATACAAAGCATGTGCAAGCATTCATACATTGTTAAAATATCAGTTTGAAAATATTAAAATACCCGCTTATTTTATTTGTATAAAATATAAAATAATTTTAAAATTCTTACCGCTCCGCATCGATTCTTTTTAACGGGCGAACTCGATGATGATTGCGGATTCTGCAAACTTTGAACAGCCGGCATGGCAGAAATGTTTACATTGATGGCTTCGTTGTCACTCATTTTGAAAAAAATACTTTAACACAGATTACAGTGCAAATAATATTTAAAAAAGATTAAAAACTATATAAGAGCGCAGTGGATACGAAGCAGATGATACGAATAATCGAAGTGACGACGCAGAACAAAAACTCAAATGATATACGTTTCAACATTCTGTATACAGTGTATAATACAACCCACACTGTATAGCGTTGAGCGCTGCCGATCGGTGCCGAACCGCTGTCGGCATGCCGAATAGTGGGGGATGCGCGAAATCGGACGAGTTTTCGTCGTGCGTCGGTAATACTCTCTCGTGGGTCGGAGTATAGATATGTAAATCATTCATTATTTTGTTATCTTTAAGCAACTTATACATTTTATACTTACTAATGTAAAACTTTGTCATAAATGAACTTAATTTTTCTTTGATGATATTATTTAATTATTGTAGGTATAGTAGGTATTACTATACATAAATACTATAAGACATGTCATGTAAAATCACCATAATATGTCATGAGCAGTCCTGTAAAGTATTTAAGTAAAAATATTTGAGTAAAAGTATTCAAATACTTTTTGGTATTGAATACTTTGATTTTTTATTTCGAACATTTTTTATTCGAAATAATTGGTTGGCAAAACATTATTGTCAACTACAATAATAGAATAATAGTTTTGTTTAATAGTTTGTATTTCTGTGTTAGCCGTAGCCCGATGGTTTGTGAAAACCAGATTTCTAAAAATAATTATTGAATAACAATATTCCCTTTAAACTATAACTATTAAATTACCTACTACTGTTTGTATTACGATAATTAGAAACCCACTTTAAAAACCAAAAGTATTTGAAAAGTATTATCTTAAATACTAAAAAAAAAAATGTATTTGAGTATTTACTCAAGTAATTTTTAAAAGTATTCTTTACAGGACTGGTCATGAGATACAGTCAACTACAGTGTGAATATTACATTAAATGGTTATTTTAGAAAATAAAACAATATTATAAATTATAAAGCTGCTGCATAATAGGTTTGAAATGAATTACATTATACATCTGTTTAGCATATTATACCTGGTATTTATGGAAAAATGATTTCTGATTGTTGAATGTTAACGATTTGTTGTTAAGTTTTTAAGTTTCTTACATTTATGTTTTCTTCCGTTCATACATATATTTCGTCATTACCAGTTTCACATAGATAAAATTACACAACTGAATAATGATTAATTTTAATAATAATTTTATCATTTTTGAAATTAATTATGATTGCGAGGAATGAAACATTAAATTATTGTTAAGATTGTAAGAATCAAACTATTGTTTATAAAAATACTATAAATTTAAATTAAGTTCATTTGTACCTTTGTAGTTTATAATAAATGTATTTTCTATCTAATTATAGTAATAAATATAATTACATAAGAATTTATATTTAACTTAAAATATGATTAATACAACAAATAACTAAATTACTAATCGGTACAATTTGAATATTCCAATTCAAAATTGTTCAAAGAACTTTTATATTTTTAACTTTTTATTTTAAATATACAGTATGGTACAGACATACAGTGTAAAATATACATAATTATAATATTTTAATATATAGATTTACAATAAATAGTTTAAATTTAAATATACCTAATAATAATAATAATAATAATGACACAGTTTAACATTTAAACCATAATGGCCTATATTAATGATGTTCCACAGATTCTGAAATTTTTTAAAATTGTATTCATTACTTTTATAATGTTAAGTGACTAATATGTATGTTAACTGTTTTGTGGTATATAATATGTATTGTTTAATATATTATACGATATTAAAACTTATATAAATACTGTTTTATATTACGGCTATGGTACGCAAAATTCTTTTAGAATATTAAGTGTTATATACATTATTATTTATTATATATACCAAAATATTATTACTTTTTTGAGATGTTGATCATGAATATTGTAAAAACATAAATTACACTTAAGTAAACATGGTGTGTGAAGAAAATTATTATTGAATTAACCAATAGTGCTAAACAGTTTACTAATTAACATAATATAGTCATAGTTGTCTATCATAAAGTACTGTTTAGACTTATACTATATATTAGTAATATAAAACATTATATTATTATATATTCATCAATAGAGATTGACTACCTGTTTTACATAATTAAACATATCATAAATTATTATATTTGTATAAAGGTATATCAATTATATTAATTGTTAAATTAAATTAAATTAGTTATTACTTATTATGTTAGAAATATATAATGGATACGATCTCCAGGATCTCTATGCGTTTGTCAGCTGCTTTTGGTTGTTGAAATCGTTAAAAAGTGTAGAGTCGATATGTGTATTTGATTGTCTAGCTATCAGTCATAAAATCACATCGGTAAGCAATATGCAAAGCGTATATCATCAGGTATGCACTCCACCTACGGTGTTAGTTGCGTAGATAAGTGAATAATCAAAAATATAGATTCTATTTGACCTATATGAGACTCGCTGAATGTGGGGTCATCGATTTTGAGAGTATTGTTCGTGTCTGTTGTAAATCGAATGTTGGATAATTGTTCTAATGGATAGGGTTTATGATAACGCGTTTAGTGATATGAATTTAAGATTGAGATAATGCTTGGCTCATTGGCGGGAATGTTTAAAAGTTTGAGTGTCTAGCTATCAGTCATCAACGGTGTAAGTACGCATAATATTTTACATCTCTTTTTTGTGGCTTTTGGGTCTGTCCAAAAGTTTGAAGTAAAAAAAAACCATACACCTAATCGATTTTCTAAACTATCAGCGCACTTTGTTCAACGTGTAATTATGATCCATAGGGCACCAGCCCTTTTTGTAATTAAAAAAATGTACGTCGATAATTCGATTATTAAGTCGATATTTATGAAGTTCATTAATTTACAAAAAATAGAAAATCCCAAAGTATAATATATATAAATGTGTGTTTATTGTATGATAAATGATAAAAACATATTATAAACACAATTAGGTGTACTAATAAATTACACTGTCTTAATGTACCTAATTAATTTCAAGAAAATAAATATACGATCATTGTTATGATCAGCTCAAGGCTATTTACTGCATGTAATTAACAAAATTAATCATAGGGATGTCAATATTAAAATCCATTTGAATATGGTACATTGCCATTTTTGTTGTTTTGTTAAAAAGTATAATATGTTTAGTATACATACCTATCTATTACATCGTTTTTAATAAAAGTATAATTTAACTTAACCTAACTTGCAGTATGTCATTGATACTATTAAAATTATTTATTTATTTTAGCAAATTGTGTGCGTAATTGAACAGTTTGATGTAGTATGGTATGTATAATATATTGAATCAAAAACAGTAGGTAAACAATATTTTAAACAGAAAGTCGGGTGTTAGTTACATACAGCGCCGGATCATAGCTTTTTAACACCCGGAGAAAATTAAAAAAATACGCCCATCTCAGGAAGATGACCAGAATTAGTTTTTTTTTTACGAAAAATCAAGCACACTCACAATACTGCGAGGAACTGAGGACCAACATTCAGTGGCGCCGAACACGGGGTATAGGTCGGGCGTTCGCCCGACCAAATTTTTTGGGTGGTGGTGGTGGTGGTGGTGGTCAAGTTGGTGGTTGTAAATAATAATAATATTATGCTATACTTCTTATAGCTATTATATTATTGTTTCATAACACGTAATCAATTAATTCCGTTTAGAATATAATAACTATTAACTAATAAGCAATAAGGTAGGTACCAATTATATGCAGTACGACCTGTGTGATGTGTACAGCGTAAATAACTATATAATATTGTTATAAATGTATACCTATATAATAATTAATATTATGTTGGTATGAGTACTACGAAGTACGAACTATTGTCAATTCTGATAATTCTATTTATTGTATTAATATTTAATATAGCTTATCATTATTAATAAATGGTTGGCCCGTGGACGTTGATGTTAATAATATCATATCTATGTACGGGAAAAATAAAAAAAGTCTATTAGATTCTGAGTGAAACGATGTATGTATTGATTTTACAATGATGTGTTTTTTTAGATTCTGAGCGGAGCGATGAATGTATTGGTTTTACAATGATCTATATATGATAACAAATCTTAGATTTAAAAAGAAAAATTTTACAAATTCTTAACTCAAAATAATTTGCTAATTTTCGTGATTTTTCCATATTTTGTCAATTTTTGAACTTTAATTGCTTATAAAAAAAAATTGTGTTTAAGGATTTTTAATATTTTTCATCTACCTTTAAACAATATACTAGGAGCCTTCTATTAAATTTTCAAGCTTTCGCAACCAACAAATAAAATCGCTCCGCTCAGAATCTAAAAAAACACATCATTGTAAAATCAATACATACATCGTTTCACTCAGAATCTAATAGACTTTTTTTATTTTTCCCGTACATAGATATGATATTATTAACATCAACGTCCACGGGCCAACCATTTATTAATAATGATAAGCTATATTAAATATTAATACAATAAATAGAATTATCAGAATTGACAATAGTTCGTACTTCGTAGTACTCATACCAACATAATATTAATTATTATATAGGTATACATTTATAACAATATTATATAGTTATTTACGCTGTACACATCACACAGGTAGTACTGCATATAATTGGTACCTACCTTATTGCTTATTAGTTAATAGTTATTATATTCTAAACGGAATTAATTGATTACGTGTTATGAAACAATAATATAATAGCTATAAGAAGTATAGCATAATATTATTATTATTTACAACCACCAACTTGACCACCACCACCACCACCACCACCCAAAAAATTTGGTCGGGCGAACGCCCGACCTATACCCCGTGTTCGGCGCCACTGAATGTTGGTCCTCAGTTCCTCGCAGTATTGTGAGTGTGCTTGATTTTTCGTAAAAAAAAAAACTAATTCTGGTCATCTTCCTGAGATGGGCGTATTTTTTTAATTTTCTCCGGGTGTTAA